AGGGGTGTTGAGGGGAGCCTGTGAACCATGACAGGGGTGTTGAGGGGAGCCTGTGAACCATGACAGTTGGGTGTTGAGATAACCTGAACCACAACAGGGTGTTGAGGGGAGACACTACTCCCTGCACCAGCCACGGTTTGGATGGACAGCACAGCCAACACATGGCTTTGGTGGAAACCTCTCAGCCCTGCTGTGCAGTTCATCTGATCCAAGAGGGTGCTGGGCACCAGCCCCCCAAGCAAATCCTCTTTTCCTCCACCCCTGAGCTTGGTTTTAGCTGCTTCCCCCAGCACATGAGTGGGGTAAGAAAACAGCCACTGTGCAACGCTCTGCCCCAAACACTGCCATACCTGGTGCTGCTGAAGTGTGGGTGATGTTCTCCAGGGATCAAAGCACCTGCAAACCTTTGGGAAAGCCCACACGGGGCACCTGCCTGTGTTCCACTGCCTCTGATTCCAGCCGTGTCAAAGGTTGTGTGCTCTCCCTCCCCACACACCCACAACAAACTCCCCGGCACAAGCACTGATGACTCTGTTGTTTACCAACAGGGATGACTCCCCATTCCAGGAAATCAGCAGATTTACAGCCCTCCTGCCACTGTTTATAGCAGGGAAAGACACACATTGCCCCAGGGAAGATATGAGAGATTCCTGGGAACTCCAAAATTCCCAGATTGCACCTTTCCCCCAGGAACGAAAGCTCTTAGCCCAGGTCTCTCAGGTGCAGGTGGTGGGACACTGTTGGCACTCCATGGGCAGCAAGAGCTTTCTGTCCTGGCACCTTTTGTCTGGGAGGAATCTTTGTCCGTATTGAATTTTGGGAGTCAGACTGGCAATTTCAGCCCAGGGTTCCTGCAAGAGAACCACCTCCTCTTCCCCCAGGAAAGAAAGCTCTAACCCTCAGTGTCTCAGGTGTAAGTGGGGGGCCACCCTTGTCACTACATAGGAAGGAAGAACTTTCTGTCCTGGCACCTTTTGTCTGGGAGGAATCTTCACCTGTATTCAATATTGGGAGTCAGACTGGCAATTTAGGGCAGGTTTCTACAAGGAAACAGCAGCCTTTTCCCCCAGGAAAGGAAGGCTATAAACTTTAGGTTGTTGGGCACTTGTTGGGCCACCCTGAGCCAAGAGTGGCTGACCACCTGCACATGAGAGATGGATAGCAAGGGCTTTCTATCCGGGGGGGAAAGGCTGTTGTTTGTTTGCAGGAGCCCAGCGCTGAAATTGCCAATCCCACTCCCAAAATTCAGCACGGATAAAGATTCTTCCCAGACAAAAGGTGGCAGGACAGAAAGCTCTTGCTGATTATTGAGTGCCAAGAGTGGCTCACCAGCTTGACCTGTTCCAGGCTTTCTTTCCTGGGGGGAAGGGTTGTTGTTCACTTGCAGGAGCCCAGCACTGAAATTGCCAGTCAGACTTCCAAAAATGAATACGGATGAAGATTCCTCCCAGACAAAAAGTGCCAGGACAGAAAGCTCTTGCTGCTTATGGAGTGCCCTGGGTGGCCCACCACATACACGAGACACCGAGGGTAAGAGCCTTCTTTCCTGGGGGAAGAGGAGGTGGTTCTCTTGCAGGAACCCTGCATTGAAATTGCCAGTACGACTACCAAAATTGAATATGGACGAAGATTCCTCCCAGACAAAAGGTGCCAGGACAGAAAGCTTTTGCTGCCTGTGGAGTGCCCAGGGTGTCCCACCACCTGCACCTGAAACCCAAAGATTATAGGCTTTCTCTCCTTGGGGAAAGGGCCGTCACTCACTTGTAGGAGCCCTGCGCTGAAATTGCCAGTCCCACTCCCAAAATTCAGCACGGATAAAGATTCCTCTCAGACAAAAGGTGGCAGGACAGAAAGCTCTTGCTGATTATGGAGTGCCAAGAGTGGCCCACCAGCTTGACCTGTAACACAAAGGTTTCAGGTTTTCTTTCCTGAAAAAAAGGGCTTTTGTTTGCTTGCAGGAGCCCAGTGCTGAAACTGCCAGTCCAACTCCCAAAATTCCATACGGACAAAGATTCCTCCCAGACAAAAGGTGCCACCACAGAAAACTCTTGCTGCCCATGGAGTGCCCAGGGTGACCCACCAACTTTACCCGCATTACAAAGGTTACAGGTTTTCTTTCCTGGGGGGAAGGGTTGTCATTCACTTGAAGGAGCCCCGTGCTGAAATTGCCAGTCTGACTCCCAAAATTGAATACAGAGGAAGATTCCTCCCAGACAAAAGCTGCCAGGACAGAAAGCTCTTGCTGCCTGTTACGCTCTGGATTAAACTATAAGCTGCCCAGAGCAGTTACATTTTTATTTAAGACTTTTTAAAAGCCTTTTGGTTCATTATAACCTCTAATTAGCGTCCGGAGAAAGAGTCACACACTCTTCTCTAAGAGAAATTCTTTTGAATTTAGTGGAAAAAATGAGATATTTTGGCAAAAGGTTTTTACAGGAGTAAAATTCAGCCAAGAAAAAAGCATTTCACTAAAACATGCATATATTCCAGGCCGGAGTGAGTTGTGCTGTAGCCAGTCACAGGCTGCAGGGGTGTGGTGTGCTCGGGCTACCAGGCAGGTCTGCCTTGACTGACAGCCCAGCTACAGGCCTTCAGCTCTGCCCTGTGCCCTCAGCACAGGCCTTACCATGTCCCTGCAGGTCCTTCCCCACCTGCACACACACACACACACACACAGAGTGAGTTGGTTCTGACCCATATCAATAATTCAGTGAGATTCGGATCCAGGATCTCACACCTTCCCCCCAGGAAAGAACACCCTTCCTGTCTGTCTCTCGTGTGCAGGTGGTGGGCCACTCTTGGCACTCCTTGGGCAGTAAGAGCTTTCTGTCGTGGCCCCTTTTTTCTGGGAGGAATCTTCTTCTGTATTGACTTCCAGGAGTGGGACTGGCAGTTTCAGCACAGGGCTCCTGCAAGCCAACAAAAGCCCTTTTTTCCAGGAAAGAAAGCCTGGAACCTTTGTGTTTCAGGTGCCCTTGGATTTTCACCCTCCGAGATCAAGCAGCGTTGAGGGTTTTTGGCAGCTTCCCAGGCAGGAGAGGAAATCCCCGTCCAAGTCCAGAGTGATCCTGAGTCACCACAGGGAAAACAAGTGAATAGAGATCATATCACAAGCACCAGGGTCAGCAACTGTCACCTGCTCCAACAAACAAGCACACACGTTGGAGAAGTGATGGAATGCTCAGTAACCATCAGGGCTGTTTGCATGGCAAGAAAGTGTAGGGATGTCTTGTTAAGAGAAGGTCATGAAAAATGCACCCTTGGGTGTGTATTCCAGGAGTGGCACAGGGCCAGCGTGGGACAGTTGCCAAGGAAGGAAGTCTGCTGTCCCACCAAAGAAGATTTACCCTTACTCTGATGGATTTTATCCCAAGAAAGATCTGGTTTTAATCTTCCCTGGGACAAAAAGCCCCCTTTGTGAGAGGAAGGATGAGATCTGGGTGCTTCATTGCACCTTCCTGGTGTGGTGCAGCCCCAGGCTGCAGCTTGGTGGGTGCTGGGTAACCTCCAGCCCCTCTCCTAGCAAGGATTTTGGCCTCCCTTCCTGGCCAGGATCTCCCACAGGCTGTGAACTTATGCTCATTTACTCCATTAGAGCTTCTCCTTTCCTTCTCCTCCCTCACTTGAATTGTCAAGCACCTCTGTTTTGCCAATGAGCTGGTGATTTTTTGTGGAAGTGAAACTTCTCAGGCAGTGTTTCCGGAGCTGTGGTACTGCTGAAGCTTTGCCAATCAGCCACCACCCATCCCACCACCACCACCTCTTGCTGGCTACAGCCCACCAGCATCTCCAGCCTCTAGTTGTAAAGTGGTTTTGGAGGAGCAACACCAGTTACAGCAAAAAAGGAACTGTAATTTCAGGTTGGAAACAACCAGTTTTGATGGAAACCTCATGGTGCAAAACCCCCCATGTTTGTTCTGTGTTCACCCATCAGCTCCTGAGCAGCTCAGATTGGTGCACTCGGGTGTAGAAGTTGCCCAAAGACCTTTGTCCTGGGGAGGAAAGCTGGAATTTCCCAGTTTCAGACCTTTAACCAGCAAGAAGTAGGATTTCCAACTTTACACAGTCACAGGATTTTATTTCCTCAATGAAAAGCAATGTGAAAATATTAGTGGGTATTTTGTGTTTTCAAACACACACACAAACACACTCTGTTCCCTCAAGGCATTCCTGCTTCAAACTCAAAGCAAATAACCACATATCTGACCAGAGGGGGCTCACAGTCATTCCTTTCTTTGTTTCTTTTCACATTATTTAATCAGCTAATTACAAAAAGCATTACCTGGAGGGAAAGGAGTTAAAGTGAGAACCAGCTTAGGGCAACCCTGGAGCTTCAGCCAGGAAAGATCCAGGTGGATATTTCACCACACTCCCACCCTTAATCACAGGGGAGCCACTGCAATTCCAGTGTGCACCATTTCTGCAATACAAGTCCATGTACAAGTCAGGGCTCAGATTCAGAGCAGCACGTTCACACTCAGGGACACCACTCACTGCAAAGGATGCTCAACCCAGAGCACACGCTCTGCTCTGCTCAGCACATCTTGCTGGAAAAACAGCGTGACCTCTACCAGCAAGTTGGAGCCTTAAAGACAAGCATCTAAGTTTTCAGAGCAAAAATATCACATTCTCTCCCCGAGGGCAGGAGAGACACAAGCAGAAGACCAGTCCACACATATTCACATGCACTGTCGGGGCTGGGGGATGGTTTCTGGGGGAGTTTTGCTAATGAAGCCCCAGAAATGTCCCAGCTTTGGCTCAGGGCAGGTTTTGAAATCCAGGGCCAGCTCTGTGGCCTTCTGTCCAGGAGATGCAAGAGACACCAGCACTTCCCAGCAGAGCACAAGTCTGTCTGTGAGGCACCTCCAAAGATTTTCTAGAGTGAAACCTCCAGTGGGTCTTCTTTTGAATCTTCCTGGTCCTCATTCTCCAGCTGCTCCAGTTTGCTGGATTTCTCATGGACAATCTCCCCAGGAGTCTTCAAAAACCTGCAATACATTTTTGTCATGACTTTAAGGGTATGTCCAAACCCAGCCCCAAACCAGGCTGTAAATACTGGAGCCTTTGCCCTCAACAAGGCCAAGTTGGATGGGCCTTGGGGCAACCTGGTCTAGTGGAAGATGTCCCTGCCCACAGCAGAGGAGATGAATTTTAAGGCCCCTTCCAATCCAAGCCATGATCAGCTGAGCTCTGGAGCTCACCAGAGGGGATCTGCCACCCTTGGGCTTTGCTGAGGATCCCAGTTCTTGCTTGGAACCCAGGAAGCACCATCAGATGGGACCTGGGTTCATTTCTCTGTTCTGCTTCATCTCACCTGAACAGCAGCTTCTGCCCTGGCTCCTTTTTGATGATGTTGAGTTTGTAGTAATGTCTGAGTGCTCGTGACATCTTCTCATAGGTCATGTTCATCCGGTTCTGCAAAGGGGAAGAATTGTGGGGTGTTGAATGAAAGCAAGTGCCAACACCTGGTTTGGGTCTGTCTGCAGCAGGACCACACGTGGGACATTCTAGATGGTTCCAGTGTAGGTCTCAAACCCAGACAGGCTTCACAATCATCATTTTGCTTTCCAGGGGATGAGAAAGTCCCTCTTTCATTACCAGGTTGGCATCTCAGCACCCATCATGGCCCCCCTTCCCCTTCCCTGTGCCATCAGCCCTGGGGAACAGGTCATGAAAGGGACCTGCAGAAGCCCAGGGGTGACAAATTTGTTCTCAACAGCATTTACCTTGTGGTTCCCCCAGAGCTGGGCAAGTCCATTTGGGTTAACCACCCGGAACACCTTGGCTTCCTTGTCCTCCCACCTGATGTAGGGCTCGTAGCGGCTGTCGGAGAGGAGCTGGTACACGTATTCCCACAGCAACCTGCAGTCTGAGCATTGGGGGGGACAAATGGTCACAGAGCTCCCACTGTGCTCCAGCGAGGGGATATCAGCAACAGGATCACACGTGGCAGCGGTGACAATAAATATAAGGAGAGCCCTGAGCACTTTTATTGCGAGATCTCAAAACACAAGCACGAACTACAGTTTGTTCAGGGGGGGAAACTGAGGTGGGGAAGCACGAAATAAAGGGGAGGGAGACAGCTGGGCAGACAGGACAAAGCACCATGTCATTTCCCCGAGGAGCCAGGCCATAAATTCATAATTACCTGCCATTTTCCCATCCACTGGGGCCGACGGGGTTGTAGGAAAGGAGCAGATGGCACCTGCCCTGCAGCCACTCTCTGAGCTGTGAGGGGACAGGTTCAGTGGCTCCACATAGCTGTGGAACACAGGCTGTTGTGCACAGCCCAGCCAGGAGGGAACAACGACTGGGGCAGCCTCAGCACTGCAGTCTGTCCCTGCAAATAAAAGGGGAAAAAAAGCCAAATAAACACCCTGTGGCACATTAGGGCAGGTCCCAGATCTTCCAAAGCCCTGAAACAGGAGGGGAGGGACAGCCCAGGGTGGTTATCAGCCTGGGGGAGCCCAGGCAGGGGAGGAGGGTGCTGAGGAAAGCCTGGGATTTTCCTAAGGCAGGAGCAGCAGAAAGTCCGGGAGAGTCAGAGGAGATGCCAAGTAGGGCAAGGGTCAGGTGCAGAGGAAAAAGTGGAACAGGAGGATGTGTCAGAGCACAGGCACCCCCTGGCAAATTGTAGTAGAGACTTAAGGTGTTCGTTACTTTACATGAGCCAGCAGAAGTGCTCAGGATCCACCTCCACACACAGCCAGCCACTGATACCAATCTCTTCCCACCCCAACCCCTACCTGGGCCCCCCCAGGGCACTAATAAGCCTCACTGGCCCCACAGCCTCCCCTGGGGCCTTTCCCCACAACCCTTTGGCCCAGAAGCTCTATTTAAGCTCAGCCCTGGTTCCTCAGCCCTTTCCCAGCTATGCAGCAGGACCAGTCTCCAGCAGGGCTGTGCCTCTGCCTGACAACTGACCCTCCCTGATCCAGATCTCACTCTGCAGGTGGATTTCTGTTTAGACCTGATTCTGACCAGACCTGCTTCATCACTACAAACTTCCCAGACGACCTGGACTTTGTTGGACCTGGTTGCCTCTCTCAGGTGGTGTGGGATGGGTTCAGCTGAGCTCCAAACCCCAGGTGTGTGCAACCCACTGGAGCTGTGGGCAGGTTCTGCTTGCTGGGCAGCTGCTGTTCTCCATCCTACCTTCCTCCGTGCTCCTGGCCTTCCCAAAGGGTGAGTTCAGCAAAGGGCTGCACACCAGAGCTCTTCTTTGAGTCTTAATGAAGCAGAGGATTTCATAAAGCACATCACCTACAGGGAAGGCAACTCTGCTCAGATGACTTTGCATAATAGACTCTCTCAAGGTGATGTTGCTGAGGTTATAACATAACATAATAACAAGGTTATTCCCCCCCAACAACAAGGGTTGTCCTTGTCTCCAGCACCAAAGTGCTAAAGCCTGGCCTGCTGGGACCCCTCCAGCCCCTCTCAGCAGACCACAGGTTGTGCTTGGATGATCCTTGAGACCCCCTTGCACTGGGTCTAACCTGAGCTGGGAGCTCGGTGTCTGAAGTCCTCCTTGGTGAGGATGCACAGGGCTTTGCCGTTCATTTCGAACTTGCTCTCGTCGGTTTGCCGAAGGGAATATTCCTTCTCAGCCCATCTGAGCCAGTGGATCACGTCATCCTTGCTCCACAGGGCAGGCTGGATCCCTGAAACCAGGAGCAGCCTCTGAAACAACTCTGTCTCCATCCTCAAAACTGCTGAGGGGCAGGGTGGGATTTCTTCTCTATCATCAAACTTTCCCTCTGTATTAAGCACTCACAGATCAAAAACACTCCAAACAGAGAAAATGGACCCTGATGACACTTTGTCCCTCTTGCCAGCAGGGAATGGTCCCTGGGTGGGACACTATGGCTGCACCCATCATATCCCACCCTGTCCTTTAGTAAGGAGCTTTGACTTGCTCAGCCTCTACTCACTCAGCCTGCCTGGAAGCTGGAGGATCTCCCCAGTGCTGATGAGTGGCTGCCTGGCCTGGGACGGGGGTGGTAATGAAGCTGCCACAACAGGGCTGGAAGAGCTGATGGCCACTTTGCCCTGGGGAAAAGAGATCAGACATATCAGTGGGGTCAGTTCCCAGTTCTGGTCCTGCCTTGGCTTTGGAGATGACCGCTCCAGTATTTTCAAGCTGTTTTCTCACAGCAGCCTGTTGTGCTGTCTGCAGCTCTTCCACACATCTTCCTCACGTTCTCCCTCGCCCCAGCCCCAGGATGAGTCTCTGGTTGCCTAACTCAGTTTTAGTAGCCAGAGATTCCCCTCTCTTTCTCCAGCTCTAGTCTTTAGCAGAGGAACCTGCTCTCATTCAGGCTCTGGAAGGGGGTTATCCATCCCCACTGCCCCATGGGCTGCAGGGAAGTAGGAGATGGATCCAAGACTGGCAGAGCCTGCAGTGCTTGTGCTTCCAGTTCCTACAGGATCCTCAGATTCTCATTGGATGCCCAGGGTTTTAGGACAGCATTTCAATTATTTAGAGTTGAGAAATAAAGCTGGCAATAGTGCTTAGATTTTGTCTTAAAAACACTGTATGAAGAGAGATCTCCAGCTTTATCCCCAGTGATCATTTGGGCATAAGGGGAAATGGCCATCCCACCCCTTTTGTTGACCAGCCATTGAGTTCCAGCCCTTCAACAATTATTTTTCTCTCTCAGCCACAGCTCATGAGCCACAAGGGAGCTCAGATCCTGCTCCCAGCCCTATCTAGATCTTGAATATTACTGGCAGCCAAGCAGATAATGTTTCCCCTTAAAAATCTATTCATGTGAATCCCAGCAATTTCTCAGCTTCACCCACTGGAAAATTAACAATTTTGCAGGCAAATGGTATTTTCTAAAGCAGTTGCCAACTCTGAGTACTTCAGGCTCAGGCAGGTTTTTGGAGGTGGTTAAAGCAGCCACCCCTCGACTGTGTGTGCGGGGTAGAGGAGCTGAGTGTCCTGAAAATCAGAGGTGAAGAATATTACAGTGGTGAGGCTTGGAAACATCTTAAATGCAAAGCTGATGTTCCCAAAACCAGGAGAATGGGGGACAGGAGGAATGCACTGCATCCCTCCAGGGAAAAGTGCTTTCCCTGGGAGTAGCAGCAGGTTGGTGAGGGGTTTTCCTCAGCAGAAGGACAATTTGGTGGCTGCTGGTTGTCTCTGCAAAGCAGGCAGGTCTATGACACTGCACAAGCAAACCAGTGGGACTCTAGAATAAACTCTGAGCAGGCTTGGCAGCAATGCAAACTGTCTTTCAGATTCATTCTAAGCAATAAGGGGAAAATAAAAGTGAAAGAAATGAGCAGTGTATTTTGTCTAGAACTATCTAAAAGTTATTTTATTCTCCCATCAGTGCGACTCTCTTACAACAAGATTTACAGTAAAAACAGAACAAATCTGGTATTTTTCTTGCTCCTAAAGATTTCTGGGCCACGAGATACGTTCTGAATTTTTATTACTTTATCCTGATTTTACGTTCTCACTTTTATCCCCGCTTATCTGCTTCCACACGTTTCCAAGACAGCTTTTCTTTGCTTCAAAAGGAAATACGGTCCTTGGAGGGGCTGGAGTGGGAAAGCCAGAAAAAGGGGGGTGAAAAGGAACCCCCAGATGTGTGAGAGTAGCTTTTGGCTCAGTCCCAAATGGAGGGGGGGGACGAAGCCCCGCGGCTGCTCCGGGCTCTGTGAGGCCCTTTGGAGGTGGGCTGAGTAGGATGGGGGGTCACCTTTCAACGGGGCCATGAGCTTCCAACCTCGAATGGAGGGGGGGAAATCTCGGGGGGACGGGGAGGAGGGAGGACGAGGGCCCGGGCAGGGGACAGGCGATTCCTACCTGCATCCCCGGTGGCGGCGAGCGGCCGCTCCCCGCCCCGGTGCGACCCGGAGCCCGCGGTGTCCGGCACGGTCAGTCCCGGCCCCGCGGCCGCTGCGGCTTCGGCGCGATCGTGGCGAGAAACGAAATCGAAACGAGCCGGAGCCCCGGGAGGCAGGAGAGCGGCGGGGGGCAGCGCCCGGGGCCGTGGCCTTCACCCCCCCACCACCACCACTCCGCCCCTCTCGGGGCCGTGGACCCGAATCTCCTCCCGCTCCTCCTGGGGAATCGCGCTCCGCCCGGGGCATCCCGATCCTCCCGGGGCATCCCGATCCGTTCAGGGGAATCCCGCTCCGCCCGGGGCATCCCGTTCCGTGCGGGGGGGGGTCCCGCACCTCCCGGTGCCGGCACCGGGACAGCACCGGGGAACCCTCTTCTCCCGGGGATCCCGTCCGGGAGATCATTTCCCTGCATCCCGCTGGAGCGCGGACGCGCGGCTGGAGGAGGGAGGGATCCCGAGACACTCCGGGATCACCTCGAATACCAGGGCTCGTCCTTTCTCTCCGCCGGGCGGGGCGGGGGGACCCGGGGGAGGGGTCTGCGAGCAGCGGGAGGTGGGCGCACACCTGTAAGGTGCGCACCTGCCCGCTCGCACACCTTAGGTGTGGCGCGTAGGCACACGTCGTGGGGGTCTACTGGGAGGGATTGGGAGGCACTGGGATAGACGGAGAGGGGCTGGGACGGGATTGGATGGGGCTGGGAGGGACAAAAAGGGTACTTCTAGGAAGAAAGGGGGGGCTGGGAGCGACCGGGGGGCACTGGGGATAGACTGGGATAGAATTGGAGGGAATTGGATGAGAATGGCAAGGACTGGAAGGGACAAAAAGGGCACTTGGAATGGATTGGGAGGCACTGGGATAGACTGGGAGGGGATTGGGTGGGACTGGGAGGGACAAAAGGGGCACTGGGAGGGGGCTGGGAGCCATTGGGAGGGGACTGGGATAGCCTTGGCGGGGATTGGATGGGAGTGGGAAGGACTGGGAGGCACTTTTTAGGGACAAAAGGGGCGCTGGGATGTACAGGGAGGACACTGGGATAGACTGGGAGCACACTGGGATGTATTGGGAGGACACTGGGATGTACTGGGAGAGCACTGGGAAGTGTTGGGAGGACACTGGAGTGTCCTGGAAGGATACTGGGATAGACTGGGAGGGCACTGGGATGTCCTGGAAGGACACTGGGATACACTGGGAGGGCTCCGCTCCCTGGCCCCTCACGCCCCGCCCCTTCCCACTCCTTCGCTTCCCATTGGCCAGTCTGGGAAGTCAATCACGTAGCGGGGCCAATCGCCTGTCGGCGTGGGTGGTGGGCGGGGTCCCGCCGCTGAGCCCCGCCCACCGCCCGCCTGAGGGAGCGGCCGCGGCGGGGACGCGGTGAGTGAGGCCTCGAATGGGGGCGAGGGGCCGGGACTCTGTGGGGGCTTTGGGGAGGCTCCTTCTCGGCTCATTCTGAGCCTTTAGGGGCCTTCACGGCCCTCTCTGTGCTTTGCGGGCGGTTATGGGCCCGGGGGCGTCTGTGGTGTGCTGTGGGGTTGGGGAGGGGGGGCCTTCCTTGCCCCGCGGGCATGGAGGAGGGTGCGGGGCTGAGGGGAATCTGGGGATCGCAGGGGGACAGTCGGGGGGTTTGAGGATCACAGAGGACATGGAGGGGGATGCGGAGCCGAGGGGGGGTCAGTGAGGGCGTCAGTGTTGTGAATGGGTTTTGGAGGGGGCTGTGGGGCCTCGGGACATGGAGAGGGGTGCAGGGCGAGGAGGGTGCGGGTATCACAGGGGACATGGAGGAGGGGGCTGAGGGGTTGTCTGGGGTGGTCACAAGGGGCTTTATTGTTGTCGCTGGGCTTCAGAGGGGCCTGGGGCGCCAGGGGGTTGTCTAGGGGGTCACAGGGGACATGGAGGAGAGTCTAGGGTCACAGGGGCTGAGAGGGGGTCTGGGGGTCACAGGGGACTTCACTGTTGTGAGTGGGCTTTGGAAGGGGCTGTGGGGCTGAGAAGGGGTCTGGGGGTCACAAGGGACATGGAGGAGGGATCTGGGGGATTTACAGGGGGCTTCATTGTTGTCAGTGGGCTTTGGAGGGGCCTGACAGGCTTTGGGGGCTGCTCTCTGTGTGTGCACTGAGTGGGAGTGTCTGTGGGGCTGGGGGTGCCTCTTTCTTTTTTGTGTTTACTTGGAAAGGGGGTCTTTAGGGTGTTTCCTACACTCTGTTTGGCAGGGGGCTGGGGCTGTTATCCATGGGTTAGTGCTGCATCCCTGTGTCCCTGACATGTCACCCTGTTTCCTGGGCTGTGTGGGAGGCCAGGACTGTGCCCAGTGCCCTGTGCTGAGGCTGCTGCTGTGCCCACCACCCCCAGAATGGAACCAGCCTCCCCTTGGGGTGCTTGGTCACACACTGCACTCCAATGCCTGCTCTGGGGCTCTAGACTGGTGCAATGTTATTCTTACCATGTTTTTAGGCTTGAGTTTACCTTCCTTGTCCTCCCTCCTTTCTGTCCCCACTGGTCTTTGAAAGGAGCAGATGTTTTAAGGGGTTTTCCCCTAAATGAGTGAGTAGGTGAGACCTCAGCCCACTTCTGCTTGTAGGCACTTTCTCGTGTCATCCCTGATCCTGCCTCTCTCTGTGCTGCCTTCTCAGTGACCTGAGGCTTTTCAGAGAAGGGGTGATAATAATGCAAACAGTCTTGGGTATGAGGTTTAATAAGACCAAGCTCAAGGTGCTGCACATTGGTTGTGGTAACCCCTGGGATCAATCCAGGCTGGGGAATGAAGGGATTGATTGCAGATGGGGAGAAGGACGTGGGAATGAGATGCTGGACATGCCCTCTCCATGTTCACTGGCACCCAGAGAGACCCCCCATATGCTGGGCTGATCCCACAGTGTGGGCAGCAGGTGAGGGGGGGATTCTGCCCCTCTGCCCCCTCAGGTGAGACTCCACCTGCAGAGCTGCCTCCAGCTCCAAGGTCCCCAACACAGGAAGGACATGGAGCTGCTGGAGCAGGTCCAGAGGAGGCACCAAGATGATCAGAGGGATGGAGCAGCCCTGCTGTGAGGAAAGGCTGGGAGAACTGGGATTGTTCAGCCTGGAGAGGAGAAGTCTTTGGGGTGACTGACTGCAGCCTGAAGAAGCCAACAGGAAGATGGAGAGAGACTATTTAAAAGGGCATGGAGTGACAGGACAAGGGGAATGGCTTCCCACTTACAGAGGGCAGGGTTAGATGGGATATCAGGGAGAAATCCTTTCCTGTGAGGGTGGGGAGGCCCTGGCACAGGTTGCCCAGAGAAGCTGTGGCTGCCTCATCCCTGGAAGTGTCCCAGACCAGGTTGGACAGGGCTTGGAGCAACCTGGGCTAGTGGAAGGTGTCCCTGCCCATGGCAGGGGGTGGAACGAGCTGAGCTTTATGTCGCTTCCAACCCAGGTTGGAAAGGTTCTATAAACCCAGGTTCTATAAACCCAGGTTCTATAAACCTGGGAGGCTGAGAAGCTCTGTAGGGAGAGTGTTTTGAATGACTTTGCCAGGATTGCTGCAAACTCAAATCCTGTTGTAGCAGTAAGTTATGGCTTTAAGGCAGAAAGTTCTCCCTGAATGTGCCTTATCCTCACCTCAGTCCCAATCCTCACCTCAGTCCCAGTCCTTCCTGCACAATCTGAACAGTTCACTGGGAGGAGGTTGTGTCTGGGAATCAGTGGGAAGGCTCAGCTTTCCCTGATGAGGTGTGTCCTTGTTTACCCTGTTCTGGAGCTGGGAGGCTGCACTGCTCACAGTCACCTGGATTTGAGGGCTATAAATACCTCAGTTCAGAGAAGTGTTTTTTGTGATGTAAACATCAAAACAAGTGAATTACTGGGGTCAGAAATTGTGGGTTAGTTTGTGGACAAAGCTGCTTGTGAGAGTTGTTATTATTCTTCAGGCTGGATTGCCACGTGCCTTTATTACTATTCTATTTAGGGACAGTCACCTTTTACCAAAATAGACTGATGCTGTTTATAACCTCTGAGTACTTACATCACTAAAAAAAAATGCCCTTTTGCAAAGCAGCCTGTACAACAATTGTTTATCCTGGCACAATTGTCTTTATTTCCTATAATAACATCCACGTAAAAGGGTCTTCTGTGCTCTGATCTTACAGCTGAAATGCAGCAGTTTATGTAGAATAAATGAAACCTGTGCAGATGATTGTGTCTAGACTTATTTCAGATTATCTTAAAGCAATTAGGAAGAGGTTAAAGTAAGTTCTGCTGTCATGGAAATAGGCATGTACTGAGTTATTGATATTGTTTCAAGACAGCACACAAAAAGCTTTTTGATCTCTTTCAGTGCTGCCTTTTGCTGGTGGAGTTGAAGGGGGTGAGTTTTCTGTTTGAAAGGAGTGATCTTTGTGGTAGGAGTTCATCACATCATTTTATTTTGAGGGAGCTCTCTGTTTTCTATTAAACTCTGTATAAATGAGTGGAGTTCAGTGAGCCCAGTCAAGCTGCAGTTGCTGACCTGGAAGAAGTTGTAGTTGGAAGGACCAAACTGGTTATTTCTATTCTTCTCAACAGTGGTGAGAACCAAGTTATAGCAAAGCCATTTGAGCTTTGAGGTGGATTGCATGGACCTACAGGCAGAGAAAGTGGTTGGGGTTTTTATTTTATTTTTTGGTGGGGTTTCTTGGGGTTGCTTTTTTTCTGGACAGGTTTTGAGACAGTTCTTTGAGTGGAAGGTAAGACAGTCATTCCAGAAGCCTCATCACTGATCCTCTTTGTGCAAACAGAAATTTATCATCTGAGATCCATCTTGGTTTGTTGGATATGTTCAAAATCACTCAAAGTTACACTTTATTTTCCTGTGCTCCAGAGGAAGCCTTACCTGAGCTATGCACAGCAATCATCTGTCTTTCCTTCCCCAAAGTATTTTATAACCATCAGAATTGAGAAACCCTCTTCCCTGAGCTGATTTAGTCATAAATCTGATCTTACCTCAGTGTCTTT